AGGGAGCCGGGGGGTAGGTGGCAAAGATGGAGGCAGTTTCCCAGAGATAGCAAGGGTCCTGTCGCCGTGGTGCTGGATGGCATCTGCAGAGCCTGGCCACGAGCCCAGCCACCCTGGCACAGCCACCAGGTAGGTGGCAAGGACGTTCCCCTTCATCCCAGAGCTGGTGACCGCCTGTGCGGAGCCGCTCAGGGTGAAGAGGGACATGGCTCCAATGCGGCCCCCCCCAGCTCCCCAAGGGCCAGGCAGGATTAGCACCCATCCCAGGCGGCAGAAGGGCAGCGGGGCGAGGGCTGCTCCGGAGCCTCTGCCTGCGCCGTCTCCGTGGTTTTGCTCCCCCGGCCCCTGGACTCCAGCTTGGGGTGCCAGATGGGGACTGGTCTCAGACCGGTCTCGCTTGTGGTTTTGACGGCAAGGTAAACAAATTATCAGCAATTAAGCAATCTGCTTCCCTGGGGAGATGGCGGGGAAGGGGGGCCGGCCAGCTCTGCCGTGGCGTCACCATCTTGCGGGATGCAGCCCAAATGCCAAGCACGGCTCCGGAGCCCCAGAGCCCCAACCTTTGCCTGCTCCAGGGAGACATCACGGCACTCACTGCCTCAAGCACCGCGTGGCAGTGCCCATATTGTGCCAGAGCCACGGCGGTGGAGGACGTACCGCGGCACGGGAACAGGGTCCAAGCAGAAGGGCAGGCAGTGCCGAGTCACTCGGCAAGCGCGGTGCACCCCAAACCCCACCATCCCCAGCGAGGGACGGGCAGGGGAGCCCTGGGACCCCTGGTGCCTGGCACTGCCCCACGGTCGCCCTGGCTCACCGCGTGCCCCACTCACGATGAGCAGGGAGTCACCCAGCAGCTCGGCCGGGCACTCCTGCGCCAGCTGGTTCCGGAGCAGAGCCTGGGCCCTCTTCAGGAAGGAAGCAGCACCCACGGGGCCATCTGGGAATGGGCAGCGGCGTCGGTGCCTCCATCCCGGTGTGATTTTATGAGCCCCGGGGCTGGGGTGGGTGATAACACACAGATGTTAAACCCATCAGGGCCACACCGCTGGGAGACACCGGGCAGGAACCAGAGTCCCACGTGGGGCTGGGGACAGCAGCGCCTTGTGACGATGGCATCCGGTAGGACCAGACCTGGCAGGGGCCCCTGCGGATCCCCGAGCGGCCATGGGGAACTGAGACGAACCTGAGTGAGGGAGAGTGGGCACGGGCAGCCCCTCTTGTTCCCTGCCAGATCCCTGCCCAAGCCGCAACCGCAGGCAGCGCTAATGAAGAGGCCTTGGAAAAGTTCCCAGGATGGGCCCTGGAGCATGGCCCAGGGGAGGCGTTAGCGCAGCACTGGGCAGGCAGGGGAAGGGGAGAGGGAGGTGGGCAGGGAGCAGCACGGGCACCGGGCCAGGGTAGAGGAGCCCAGCGGCTGCCTGCACCCGTGGGGCAGCCCCCAGGAGCTGCCCCAGTGACCACACGGGTCCCTGCCTCCCAACCGGGGAGGTTCCAGCCTGAAGGAGCCTGGCGAGTCGCTGTTAGCATAAATAGAGTTTATTGCTCTGTACACATGCACACGCACACACACTTGCCCCCCGTGGGGGCCCCCGCAGCTCCGCAGCGTCCCAGAAGGTGAGCAGCCCCCAGCCCAGGCGCCAGCTCCCAGCAGGATCTGACCCATCTGCAACAAAACCAGGCGGTGAGAAGAGGCTGCTGCCCCCCACCCGCCCTGGATGGAGCCAGCATCCGTCCCCACAGCTTTGGGAAGCCCTGGGGTGCCCCCACCCCACCCCCATCACACATACGGGGTGCTCAGCCAGGGGTGGGGCACAGCTACCAGCCTGAGAACCAGCGTCGGAAGAAACTGCCCAGCACGGATGAGGGGTCGCTTAGGTTGGGAGCGCGGAGCTCGTCTTGCTGTGGCCACGTGCCCGTGAACTGCGCCAGCTCCCCTGGAAGAGCAGGGAGAGCTCGCTCAGAGGGGACCTGGCCTGCTCCCCTCACCCTCCGCAGCCCCCCCACTCACGGTCATCCATGTTGACCACTTCCTCCCGGTAGTCCTTGCTCTGCCCGTCCTCCTTGGTGGTGGTGATGAAGGCCTGGTCCCCCCTCCGGCGGGTCACCGTCGTCTCCCGGTGGCCCTGGCTGTCCTGCACGGTCCGGCGCTCCTCCACCGCCTGCACAGAGCACGGAGCCCTGAGTGATGCCACCACCCTGGGCTCTGCTCCTCGCGCCGGGGACGGTGTCCCCAGGTCACCCATGGCCCATCGCTGCACCCGCAGGGGACACTCACCCCGTCTGGGAGAGTCACTTTGGTGATGGAGATGATCTGGAAGTACGAGTGGGACTCGGGCTCGTCGGGTCTCAGGATGGTCTCCAACCCTGACGAGGAGACTTGGGAGTCCAGGTCTGTGGGGGAAAAGATGTGAGATGGTGACAGCAGCGTGGGGACACGCCCAGCAGCACGGGGAAGGCAGAGACCCCACAACCCCGCTCCTGGCACCCACCTTGGTCTTCCTTGAGGCCAGGAGGAGCCGGCTGAGCATCTTCCAGCTGCAAGGCAAAGCCACGTGCAGTGACAGGGAGGCAAAGCGTGACAGCAGGCTCTGATGGCCGCCACGGCCAAGCCCACGCGAGGCAGAGCCCTCACCCACCCCCAGGAAGGGTCTCCAGGGCCGGGCCGGGTCACGGGCGCGCTCGGGGGCTCCTGGGGATGCGGCGGGAGCGGGGCTTCAC